TTTGGGTCATCAGCAGATTTGTCAAGTTTTTAAATGAGAATTATTGTTGCATTTTACAGTCTTGAGGCAATTTTCCAGTTTTCCAGGAATTATTGAAAATATTAAGAAGTCTTTCTTTGCCAATTTTGCACAAGTTTGAAATCATTCTGCCATGGATTCCATCTGGCCCAGGAGTCTTGTTTAGGTCAGTGTTTTCTAATGCATAAGCTAGCTCTTTCATATTGATTTTTTTCATGGAAAATATTATGAGTGCTGGTGACATTTTTACAGTCATGAATAATCCTTCGGGCCTTTGTTTCAAACTTGATTTTACTACTTATTTGATATATATTACCTAAAAGATTGGCAGCAATTTTGTCATTAGTTTCTGGTGTACCATCTGTATTCTTAATCATATTAGTTTTTTCGGTTTGTGACTGGGATCTGTCAATTTGTTCTGCCAAATTCCAAAGTTTTGTATTTGGGTTTCTTGGGTTCAGGTTTTCACAAGTTTGTTTCCATTTTTCCCTTTCACATTTACTTATAATCTTTTTATTTTTGCATTCACAATGTTCAGTTCAGTTCTACAATTTGTTTGGTTTTGGGTGCTCTTTTTTGTAGTTCATTTCTTTTAGTTATAAGTGTTTGAATATTTTTGCCTGGTGTGTATAATTTGGAATCCATTTCTTAATATTACCTCTTGGTATTGAAACTGTGGCTGCTTTAATAATGGTGTTTTCGAAAGATATCCAATTAGCCTTTTTGAAGTTCCAGAATTTTTCTTAATTGAGCCGGTTTTGGTCTTGGTGCTAATTTCTATAAAATTAGGCAAATGATCACTTACAATACTTTTTAATATTTGCTATTTGCATTTGTGGAAAATGTCAGGATAGTAAAAACTTATATCAAGGGCTTGTGCAGTATTATAGCTGTATGAATGATGGGTAGGATTCCCATCATTTAAGCACATGATGGCATTGTCGTCAAATATGTTTGAAAGTATTTTGCCTCTTGGGTTTGGCGTGGAACATCCCCATAGTTGATGTTTGGCATTAAGGTCACCTACAATAAGAGTTGTCTTTAAGAAATTGAGCCATTGTTCCATTGTCAATAAGTTTATTGTTTGGAGGGTGATACATATTGTATATGTTGATGGCTTTGTTTTGATTGAGGTAGACTTTGATACCTTGGGCTTCGAGGTCTGATGTGTTTGGAATATTAACGGCTATGTCCTCATAGTACAAATTCTTGATTAAAAATGCTAGGCCACCCCCTTTAACAGCATATACAGATGGATCTTCAGACCTTACCCTGAGTTATGGAGGGGCCGGAATTAACATAATGGTGCAAGATGGAACGCACATCAAAATCAAAGAAGGAGCAGGACAGATTTCGTCAAACTTCACTTGTGAACTGACGGCTATCTGGAAAGCCCTTGATGTATGCCTTAACCAACCATCCCTGCATCAAGCAGAAGGAAATTTAATATACAGCGACTCCATATCCGCTCTAGAAGCATTTTGGAGGGCAATACTAAAATCACACGGAAAATACACTTGTTACTTACCCAACTGGAACCATTGGAGAATAACTGCATTCTACAATGGATCCCTGCCCATGCTGGGATCGGGGGTAATGAAATGGCATCTGAATTGGCAAAGGAAGCCAGAAAGTTGAGCCAAAGGAAAAAACAAATGTCATTATTTGACGCTGAATCTTTGTCAAAATACAAGATAATTAAACAATAAATAAGAAAAGATCAAAATGCGAAATAAACTCTGAGAGAAAATAACAAAAACTATAACAAGACTTGTAACAAAACACTATAAAGGAATGACAATACATCCAGATGGCACAATACCCTATAGGGCATGCAACAATTGTCCTGGTGTGGAACTTACACCTACCCACATATTCTCATAGCCAGCAATGGCCGCAGCCTTGCAGGAATTTGACATAGACCCAGAGCAGTAGCTTTACACACCCAAGATAGTGGACATTGCTGCTGCTGTGATGGAGATACATGGATACATCTGAGGCTCTTTATTGGACACGACAACAACAACGGCATTCCAGAGTAGAATAAATTATCAGAGATAGATACATATTTTTCAAATGAATTAAAATAAATATAATCGATACTGAGAGAGAGTTGAATTTTAAAAATATTAGAAAATTATTATCTTCGGAAACACAAACCGTATCTAAAATATCAATTTTTTTTTGCTACATGTTTTAATTTGCATTTACCTATTTTACATATCACTGATTGTATTTAAAAATTGTTAACCAATTCTTCATACTTTTGGCGAAGTGGTGTTTTATTAATTTGTTATTTGATGTTATTAGGGTTCTTTCCTGGTATTCAAAAAGGAAAAATACGTGTCGATCAGTTATATTTTTCAATTTATCAAACAATTTGGCCGCTGAATCTCTGATTCTGGTAGTGCGCCATCTGGCGAATAAAATTGTAACTAAAATCAATTTCGAATTTTTCATTATTTGCCATAAAAAATCCCATTGCATCCTGAACACAATGGTGTTTACCGCATTGCTCTAGTGCAAATATTAGCGGAGTTATTAATTTTTAAAATAGTGCGGGACTTTTGGATCACCCTGTATTTGTGTTTGTAGTGTATTAAGTACATATAATTCATCAATATTAATTTATTCTGGTGGTAAATTTTATAATATTTTTGCATGCACACATTTCCCTCACCTACTTTTAATTTTTTAAACTATTTCAATTGTAATAATATAACACTATGCGGCGCTGAGTTTGTTTATACAAAATTGTAATGCCTTGATAAAGGTTGGCGTTCAGCCAACCGAAATATTGGCAAATAAATATTTTATTGAATCCAATATATGTCTTTTTATAGCGAACTATATCCCAAATTTTTCGCTTATTTTACTTCGTGTATCATACTTATTTTTATTTAATTTTCCCTAGTATATTTTTGCCTTAAATTTTACTTTACATATTCATCATCACCAAATTACTTTGTTTTAAAACAAGTGTGTTTAAATTAATGATTTTTATTAATTTCTAATGGTAGATATTTCGTGTTTCTAATTCAATTGTTAATTAAGTTTTTGCTTATAATCAGAATTTCTTCTCTGTTGAAATTTTCCTTTGGGATCTATACTGGATGTACAGGATATATCGAAGTACGTATCTGTTCGAATGTATATACAGTAGAATCCCCCTTGAAATGACAACACCTAATTGCAGAGCCAAAGTGTCCACGGTTTCCACGTGCGAGAGAGTTAACAAATAGTAAAAATGGTTATTTTGATAATGAAAACTGCCCTTTGTAGAGAGGTGTCCTCTAGCGCGAGTGTCCTTTCATGTAGGTTCTATTGTACTTTGTTAAGAAACTATTTATATTTAACCTTACTTGAAATACTGATTCTAAGAGATAATAGACCCATTGTAATATTTAAACCACCATTTATACCCTTAATGTGTCTTTACAGGCTCTTCAGGTAAATCCGGGTCACTCGGCTAGTATACATATATGTTATATATAAAAAAGAGAGATTCTGTTGATTTTTGATTATCTTGAAGATTATTCTATGGTAATGCTGTCGTGGTTAAAATCTTGAAAGTATAATAAAATTAGTAAAGATCAAAAATAGCTTTAATTGAGCTTATGGAATATATAAAAAAAAAACATAATTTGATAAAATTACAGCCTGTTAGCCAGGTGTAAGAATAAAAAAATTAAAATGCTTATTTACATAATTTACAAAGGTTTGAGTCTGCCATCGGGAAACAACAACAATGAATTTTTATAAGGGAAGCGTGTTCTCTGCCGATCGATTTAGCTGAGTATTTGAATCAATGAAATATATATTATTTTAAATAAAATAATAGTTTTATATAACATATAAATATATCAAAAATAAGACAGGAATATCCAGACGACTCACATGAGCAAAAATAAATGCATGACGATTTTTAAATCAGAAATAGCGCCTGATAGCGTTTATTAAAACATTGCATTTAACCCAATATACAAATATATTTTTTATGGATTTGTCATAACCAAAGAACCTACTATAATAAAAATAATTTTATACCATTCTAAAAAGTAAATAATTATGTTTTCTACCATCCAAATATAGCTAAGCACAATCTACAACAAAGTTTCCCCGAGGCCAGACACAGAATGAGGCCAATTTAAAGAGCCTATTTAAAAAACTAAATATGAATCCCATGTATTAGCGTAATTTGTCATTTAGCCTGCCAGAAGATTATTTTTAATAAATCGCCTCGAGGGGGAGCTAGAATGCTTTTAGAATAATTGCTTTCTCTGTGAATATGACCTTCTTTTTATCTCAATATTATAGCTCTCCAACTACAGTTAAACCTCTCTATAGCGCTTCCTCTAAATAGCGCCTTCCTCTCTATAGCGTCCGATTTTAAACATTAAAATGTAAACATTTTGCATTAAAAGTCACCTGTCTATAACACCCTTCTCTCTATAGCACCCTATTTTGGTGAGTCCCAAGAGGGGGCGCTATAAACAGGTTTAACTGTATATTATTTTTTAAAAAATTACGATGAATTTAGAATAATACTGAGATATAGTATCATTTTTTGATGATGCTGATTATTTTGAATTAATTAGCATTTAGTTAATGGTATTGGTATTGCTTGCAGTCTTGAAAAAAAATAGAATAAAATATTGTAATCACAATTTTCTCTAATTGAGTTGTTAAAAATAATTAGGGAAGAAATACCTGACCTAAAGCGAGTAGAATAGGGAAAACAATAGACATATTTACATAATTACAGAATATTTGAGCCGGCCAACGGGAAGAGAGAATATGGTTTTACGGGCTACTAACCAAAATGTAGGACTTTTGAGCCCAATGGAAATATATTTATTTACGGGAGTACTAACCAAAGTGTATGTTTTTTGAGCCCCAAAAAAAAGTAGAGAATACGCGGAGTTGAACCACGGACCTTTCGATCTACCACTGAGCTATACCCCCATGAAAAAAAAAAAAAAAAACACGATCCTGATGGGAATCGAACCCACAATCTTTAACTCCGGAGGCCAACGCCATATCCATTAGGCCAACGTGTTGGTTTATATAGGGAGAGCCGCGACATCTAGCGGTCGACTTTACGGAGTAGTGTTTGTTATAGAAATTATAATTTTGAAAAAATATATATTAATATATAAATATTTTTTTTTATTCTGGCCAAATATATATCTGCTTAGTGTCAGTATATTATTTAGTATTTACTACTTCGCTACATTATTGTTGCGTTGTAAAATTATTGATATATGAATACCGTATCAAATATTAAAACAATATATCTATGAAAAATAGATACTTCGGCCAGTTAGAGTTTTTATTTTTCTCAACGTTTCGACAAAAATATTTTATCTTCGTCAGGAGAAGTAAATAAAATAAAGCATTTGGCAAGACGTTAAAAATTGTTCTGAGGTTGCAAGGGCGTTCTCACGCCATTTTTCGAATTTAGTACAACATCTAAAGCACGAGTCAAAAACAAATATTAAACTCGTCAAAGACTATGATCTTGGAAATAAATAAAAATATAATAATAAAATTATGATTAAATAATAATAATAATCACAAAAATTACATATTATTTTATAAATGCTAACTATTTATATATATGTACAATTTATATCTAGCTTTTTACTAGTTTTTAAAACAATAGTTATTCAAATAATTTACCATATACCACTTTGGGTATAAGAGTTGTATCAAAGATCTTTACAGAACACACGGATTCCTTCTAATTCATAACATAAAAAAATATTGAGAATGAAATTGATGGTTAATTATAAGAATGTGTGAGTCTCATTTTGAAGATAGGGTTTGAAAAAGAGCGCGCGCATTGTCCGAAAGTTTATCTTTTTGTAATAACAAATCAGAAACTTTTTTTGTTTGTGTGTATGCTTTCATAAGCATCCATATATGAAAATTCCTGAAAATTGACTTTATATAATATATTTTAGATAGACTCTGGTCATAATTTTAGTGAAATAAAATTCAATCTTTTAATTAGATTGACTAAAACTATGTCAAGGATTGACGTTTTTTTTAAAATAAAAGACATTTTGGCTCAGAGAGGTTTTTATTATATCGCCCTTTTAATAACAAATTTTACTCCCATTTTCTTAGTGTCGAGGCAGTGCATCTCTGTTTTTGTTCAGAGGGTTAGATTGGTTTCTGTTTATTTCTATTTGAGAACATATTCAAGATGAGAGGAACATTTATCAATACACAAACATACAGCTTTATTAAGACCACCGGTCTTATACAGATTTACCGCAGGAAAGAAGACATAGATAGAGCTCCTATATTCCAGGCAGCACAGAAACCAACAACAGCCTCCAGGTCCGACGCATGTTCAATGGCCACACCGGGCATAAATCAAAGTTAGCGTATCCCTGTAAAGCCGAATGTGGAATCAGCAGCGTTCTAGTCTTCACTTTCCTCATCCAAATGGATCACGACATTCGGCGAGTCCATTAATCTCCTCCGAACGGTGACTGTGGCCTTGTAGAATTTATATAAACCAAAGAGAAGACATTGATCAAACATAATTGTATTCATCCAGTTATATATTTGTTGACTACCGGATTGAGATAAGATTAAGTCACCCAAGATTTCTTTTCTCTTATTCTCCAAGAAAAAGCAACCAAATATTATATGCATGATTTCATATTGTATTCTGCTATTACATAGATCACAAGAAACTTTGTCAATATAAGTCACAAAAGAGATTACAAACAGTTTCATTATTGGATTATTCTCTCACCTGTTTTAGTTTTATATATATTTATTGAAAACAAAAGAGGCAAAACCTAGCCAGGCCCACATGAGCATTTCTAGATGACAAAGCGCCATCTAGTGGAGTTCTGCCATCTAGAAATACTCATTTGAGTCTGGTCAGGATATGCTTCTTTTGAATTTAATATCAACACCTGACCTTTTTTATATTTTTCATTTTTTCATGTTTTTTCACCATATATTCCATGTCTTTAATAAGAAATGAAGTTGTTTTGAGATTTTTATATAAATATAATTAATTTAAACTATTCTTTCTGTAGGACGACATTTGGAAATTATCCCGCATGTGTTTCTTTTAAACGAAAAATCGAAATTTATTTTAAGGAGAAATAACGATTATTTCTAACCTTAGGGATGAAGTATGAAAGGATGAATTGTAAAGAGTAATGATAAACGGAAAATAAAGTGTCCAGGGATGGGGATTATATTGTATTATAAATTACTTTATATAATATTTACGAAAGGAAAAATATGTCCAGGGTAGCCTAGTGGACATGGCATCTGCCTGGTAAGCGGAACACTGTGGGTTCGATTTCCATCCCTGGACACTTTATTTTTCCGTTTATCATTACTTTTCACAATTCATACTTTCATACTTCATCCCTAATGTTTGAAATAATCGTTTTTACTCTTTAAAATAAATTTCAATTTTTCGTTTAAAAGAAACACATGCGGGATAATTTTCAAATGTAGTCATACAATCATAAGCCGCATTATATTGTATTAAAAATATTCGTACTGTGCTAAAACAGAATTTTGGGAGGATCATCTAGATTATCTAGTGGGAGGATCATCTAGTGAACCCTCGCTGGAGATTTGCGCCAAAGAAAATAAAATTAAAAAAGTTGCTCAAAATGGTTTCATTTTTATTACACAGATGGCGCGCTAATGTATACCTTATGTTGAAATTCTGTCTAAATATCCTTTTGGTATATTATATGCTACAGAGAAATATTCGCGATGCAGGAATATTTATATTTATTATTAATTATATAGAAATGTTGACCATAATATTTCAAGACACCATCTAAATAAATTATGTATGTGTTAATTTAGTTAATTCGTAAAAAAAGAACTTTGTAGGTAAATATTTGTCCATAATTTATTATTCGAACTAGTATGGTATTACTTTAACAATCTCAATATTAAATTCCATAGTTTAATAAATGGTTAAAAATAATACTCGATAATGAATTAATAAACTTTATTTTTCAAAGCGACTGCACTTTGGTAAGTAACTTTCCTAAAAATCAAATATATTTTTTAAATAATCACGAGGCACATATACTCATGGACAATTTCTGATTTCGATTGTGATTTTTTTTAGGAGACAAGAAGTAATTTTGTTCACACTCGGTTATCTCGTATGACTTTAATAAAGGTCACTGCAATATCTTTCAGAGTTATTGTCTGAATCACGATATACATACTGAAAGGTACAACTTACAACTTAAGTTTTTTTACCATGAGTGTATACACACTTGGTTATCTCGTGTGCTTTCAATAAAGGTCACTGTAATATCTTTCAGAGTTATTGTCTGAATCCCGATATACATACTGAAAGGTACAACTTACAACTTAAGTTTTTTATTTTTCCATGAGTGTATACACACTTGGTTATCTCGTGTGCTTTCAATAAAGGTCACTGTAATATCTTTCAGAGTTATTGTCTGAATCCCGATATACATATTGAAAGGTACAACTTACAACTTAAGTTTTTTTTTTCCATGAGTGTATACACACTTGGTTATCTCGTGTTCTTTCAATAAAGGTCATTGTAATATCTTTCAGAGTTATTGTCCGAATCCCGATATACATATTGAAAGGTACAACTTAAGTTTTTTTTCCATGAGTGCATACACACTTGGTTATCTCGTGTGCTTTCAATAAAGGTCATTGTAATATCTTTTAGAGTTATTCTGAATTCCGATATACATGCTAAAAGGTACAACTTCCTTAATTTTTGTACATAAAAGTCGGACTCTGTGTCCTCTAAGCTTATTTGACCATAAAGACATTGAGAACCTCAATCAAGTATGCCTTTCTATTGCCTAGTATATAAGCAGTATAGTCAGATACAATAGCAGAACATTTTGGTGGATTGAATTGGTGAAACCGCTGGGAGGGCTCACCACTGATAAGCCAAGCCCTACCAATATTTTTCAAAATAAAATTAATACTAGAAAAATCAGTTTTATTCAAATAAATCGTGATGGAATGATTAAATTGTGTAATTAATAATACAATATAATGCGGCTTATGATTGTATAAACGACATTTGAATATTATCCCAGAATTTTTTATTTAAATCGAAATTTATTTTAAGGAGAAATAACGATTTTTTCCTAACCTTAAGGATGAAATATGAAAGGATGAATTGTAAAGAGTAATGATAAACGGAAAAAGAATAATAATTTATCATTACTCTTCACAATTCATCCTTTATTACTTCATCCCCAAGGTTAGAAATACTCGTTATTTCTCCTTAAAATAAATTTAGATTTTTCGTTCAAAAGAAACATTTGCTGTATAATTGCCAAATGTCGTTTCTCTACAATTTAATTGTGTGTGTTCAAATATTACGAGCTAATGTCTTATGTTCAACTTTCCAAAAGTAAGTTTCTTTAGATAATACAGTATTAAGGATAGATATATCAACAGAATATCATTTTGATTTATAACAAGTCTCTTCATAGATGGGAATTTTGCCTGGAGCAAATTGATCTAAAAGGGCGTCTATGTTTGACGTTTAATTTGACGGGAGAGGAGCCCTATGCTTTTTTAGAAGTCTCTTCATTTTATATATTTTTGTTAACTGAAGAAAGGTATCTGTTTCGGATAAGATCACTGCCTCACTTACGAAGCTCGGAAAGCTTGCCGCATCCTGGATATGTCTGGCCTTATCTAAATAGTTGTGCCAGAGCTACTGTATCTTCTTGCCAGACTTCTGGTCTCCAACCTAATTGAAGCCTATTTGCTTCCTTAAAAGTGTCCACAACACCAGAAACCCTGATGACACTAATAATTCACCAACACCCGATTTATAACTGACATACGTTTATTAAACTAACACATCCTTATATACAGAATTATATTTACAAATATGTAAATCTTCTGGCTGAATTAAGCAAAAAAAGGAGAAATTTACATAACCAGCGTCTCTAATATCACTTAGAAGATCTAAACCAATATTTTATAGAAATATTAAAATATAGAGCAAGACAATTCAAGTAATATAGATTTGATAGACATTAAC